TACCTCTTCCATTTTTGGGGCCGCCAGTTAGGTTTACTTGTTAGTGGCAAGCATGAGCTTAGGTTTACTTGTTAGTGGCAAGCATGAGCTTTGGTAGGGCACCTGCAGCTTATGCGCCCTTGTGGTTTAGGTTGCAGGTTCAAATCTTTGGACCAGCAATTTGGTGCATATGCATGCTCCATGGGGTGAGGGCCATTCACACACTTCCCTTGGCTGAAACATGGTAAGGACTACAGACACTGGTTGTTTCAGCCAAGAGGTCCAGGTTAATACAGGGTAGGGTTGGCGGTAGGGGGGCCACGGTGATGCATTGCCTCGGGGTATCTCTGGGGGATTTTCCATGGAGTCCTACAGGGGGGATTTGGCATTTGGGGATGGATACGGTTGGGGAAGGGGGGGTGTCAACTTATAGGTGGTTAGGATCCGTCTTGGCGGCACCACCTTGGGGATCCGGTGATAGCACTGCCTGGTTAGGATCGTCGTAGCCCCTGTGCTGTTGGCAACGTTCAGGGGGAGTAGCACCAGCGCCGTTAGGGGTAGGTATATGGGGCTGCGTTGGGGCAGGGGCACCTGCCTACATATAGGGGCCCACCCCACTAGCAGGAGTAGGAGTACACAATAAGCATCATAAGGGGTAGCTAATGGGTCAGAATTATATGGGAGAATATATGGCCGTGGATAAAAACCGATACGATGCCAATGTTTTTTTTTTTTTTTTTTTCATTGGGACAATGCTCCAGTCTATTCGTGGGGAGCCGCACGTGCTGGGAACCGGGCCCAGCGTCCCGGTTGAAACATGAAACACATTTGAGAGCACATACAAAAAAATTTTTTTTTTGAGATACCGGGACTTCAACCCGGCTTTATCTGAAGAATAAGATCATGAGCAATCACTAGGCTATTCGCTGAAGAAACCCAGAAGATAGGCTAAAATTAAGAAAAAGTCTGAAAAAATATGAAAAAATATGAGAAGTTTCCTTCTAAGCTCCACAAAGGGACTAAACGAACCCGTCTTTTTTTTAAGCTACCGGGGCCATTACCCGGCTTTGGCTAAGAAAATTCTGGAGTTTTTAGAAGCAAAAATCGCCATCACAAAGGTCCTATAAATGCTGAACGCTCGGAATCCCTAGCAAATCCTTCTAAAATTCTCCAACACTGTCTTACTCCCTGCCGAGCTCTTCCAGGTCTCACACCCCCACCCGCTCGCGTTACAGGGCAACACGACTCACCCCAGCTCTGCCCAGCGTCGTCCCAGCAGTAACCCTTAGTTGTCCCTTGAAATGCCCACCCCAAAGCATTCCCAGATCTCTCTACCAGGCCTCACACTCCTGCATCAGCAGGTTACAGGGCAACACCCCAGTACCGGCCAGCGTCGTTCTGGCATCGGAAAGCCACAGATCACTGAGTATAACAGCAATGAAGCCTCCTAAAATGAGTTGCTAGCGGTCCCACCCAGCCGATGGGTAATACATCACGAAACAAGGACCAAACTATGGCAAGGGATCAAAACCAATAGGTAAGGTATGATGTCCTCCGATAGCTGGTTCATTGAGAGAGTAAGGATGAGAGAAGGTGAGGGTGGTTAGGGATGGGACATGCGATTACCATCAAGGGTGGTTATACTCGGGAGGGTAGGCTGGCTGGTCAGTAGCTGAGGACTCGGTACCATAGGGAGTGTCGCACCCAAGGAAAGCCTCTAGAAATCTGTCCCCTGACTGGGATACCCTGAATGGCTGAGCGTCAGATGACCCCCTACCCATCCCTGACCCGAGTAACCTTTTGAATAGAAAAAAAGAAAGACGAAGTTAAAAACTGTAGAGGGCTATAGGGTCAGCACCGTGGCTACCACACAGCCAGCCGGCGTCCTTCCCCCGTCAGTGGGATGGGTCCGTGTCGTGATCAGTTGACCACTTTGCAGTCGGGAAACTCCTAGTAGTACTCAGGCACTACAAGCTTCTTTAACCCCCATCACCACCTAGTCATCCCTCCGGACAACAGGAAACATCCTTCTGTTTGGGCCGCCCATAACCACCGGCTCTTCCCCCTATCCCCCGACCTCCCTCCCCCTTTTTTTTTCCCGAAAAAGGCCAGGCTGTTGTAGAGGTGTGATACTAAACAGAAGACAGTCACCCCACCCACCCTTTCTCTCATCTTTTTGCCCTGGCACACCTCCACCCCCCCTGTCCTACCTCCCTCCCTCTTGACCATGTATCCCTTCCCCCTTTCCCCATATGGTACTGGTTGAACCTCTTGTGCAGTGTTCATCCTCCTGCTCAATGTGTCAATCACATCATTTTGTTTTAACCTCACTTCAGGATCCCAATTTATCTCCCCACTGAAATCCATTTTAGTATCATCGTATTCTGTTGTGAGCACCAATGCGTCAATCACATCACTTTTATGAGCACCAATGCGCCAGCTTGGGAGAGCTTTTCCGACTCATCCTATTCAGCGCGGTGCCTTGCTTATGCTACCACCAACAAGTATTTCTAGTCTCTTTCGCTGGGGGTTGCTATCCCTGCACCCCATCCACCGGAGCCCAGCACATACGACTTTACTAGGTTACCGAGGCTTCTGGAGTTCTTCAGCGAGCGTGAGAACATTCACGAAGGTCAGGCCAACATTATTAGAATTCTCAGAGATTCGTAGGATAGTGTTCGCCACGGTCGCGAACTTTGCCTACATAGGCCCAAAAGAAGAAAACCCCTTAGTCCGAAATCGATGCTTATCTTGAAATTCAAGCTCTCTTTACTTTAGTGATTTTCGGCAATTCCTAAAGAACTTGTGCGACAAAACAGTCGCAAGAGTTCCGCATACTACCTTTTCCCCCCGAACATAACGCATATGCATTGTAAACGAATACAACGCATAGGGTGTGTTCTACTCAAATACAATGCATATGCATTCTATTCAAATAGCCCTAAATTTTGAATACAACACATATGCATTCTATTCGATTTTTTTTTTCAAATTCAAAAAACTTGAATACGACGCAAATGAGTATTGTTCGAGGGAAGAAGGTAGTAACCTTGTTTCGAGGAACCAAGTACCTCGTTCCCGGGGTACGTTGTCTCCAGCTACAACCCAGCTGGGTAGGTTCAGTCTTTCCTCAACGGACCTCAATCCCTTCGCGTCATTGTGACAAAAGAAATGGAAAATCAAGAGGTCATCAATATACCTCTTGCCAATCGGGCATCACTCCCCAGTGAATTTACAAACTGATACTCAGAACGCATACACATAACACAAGCGAATGGGGGCTTGCTCTTTCCCCCATCGGGACACCCTTCGTCTGCCTCAGTATGTGCCGTAAAACCAACAGTACGTAGTTTCAAGCAAGAAGTCTGTCAGTGAGGTTAGTTGGCTTAGCCTGATAGAACTCCAGCCTGGCTCTCAGGAGACTTGCTAAAGAAGGTCGCACACTTTTGCAAATGGACCCTAACCCATTTAACAGACTTCTTATGAAACAACTCGATAATCCATTTAACAGCCCAGTCGATCTCATCGTGAACAAGTTGAGTCAACATTTCTTTAATATCTTACGACCAGGCAATGAGGTTTGATTCCAACCCACTGGGAGTAGAGCACGCATGCTTCGTTGCTAAGTCCTTTGGTATGCTTTGCTGCGCAGTAGAGGTCGTGTCGGGCAGGTCAGCCCTATGAGGGGGAGATGAGTATCGGACCGTCTATAAAGAGACTACGGAGGGGATACATGAGTTGTACATGGTATGGACGGGGCTGGCCAATTCTGCATTGACTTGGGGCACAGGGGTGGGTTGAATGCACACCGTTAGACAAACTACTCAACCAAAGCTTTCTGGACGTCGACACAAAGTGACAACTCGAAAAAGATCGAGGGGGAGGGAGGATTCCAGTAACCGTTCGATTGTTAATTATTGTTTGATTTCCACTCGGCATGCATTCCAGTAAATGATTCCGTTTTTATTTTGATTAGTGGCAGACTGCGGCAACAGCCTGTAGGGAGACACATTGCCAATACAGTGGTGCATACGTACTCAGAAAACATCCATCAGAAGTGGTGAAAAACTCGAAGAAAGCATCACAATAAGTACAAAATGAAAAACAACTTCCACGAGCTCAAACTCAGTTTCCAGATAGATTCCTCTCTTCACGCATCACACCATTACTGCCACCATAGCTATCTCTCCCAAGTCACAACAAAGTAGTTCCCTTCTGTCGGTTTCGTCCCTACTAAACGGACTCGTCAGAAAGGCGTACCCTCTCGAGTACTTCTGTCGAAAAAGAGCCCTAATGCCTTGCCTCTTAATCACTATATGCTTGTCGGTCGTGGGCCTTCACGTACGTACATGTTCCTGTGAAATAAAAGAATAAAATAAAATAACCGACAGTTTACGGTCATATCATGAACAGCCTCACAACGTATCAACTCAAGCCGGCAAAAACGACAAAAACGCAAAACAAACAAACAAATAAATAAAAGGGAAACACGCAAAAGAGCCGCTTGTACCATGTGGCAGTACCCGGTCTAGTACCCTTGAATATTAAGGCGCTTCGCCTCGAAATCTGTTCGGCAGTTACACTGCCCGGTCCTGCCTAGTCGCGGTTGAGGAAAAATTGTCAAAAAACCTTGTCTCTGCAGGGATCCCTGTCTACGGATCCTTTTCTGATCCCAAAATAACTGGAAAACTCCCCACAACTTCCTCAATGTTCCGTAGCCTGTAACCTTGGCCAATTTGGCCAAGGCCCCCAGAGAAACCTCCGGGGCATAGCCCCAGAGGATACTCTCTGTCATCGCATATGCCACCGAACTAGCTGCTAGGGTCTGCGCCGTTGACGAGTACCACAACCTCTTAAAAGTGGCCCAAAGAACTCCCTTTTTAGTTCGCTTATCAGAGTAACTCGCATAGTCCTGCATGGATTGGTAACGGAGCGTACCCCCACAGCGAACGATTCGCAGTTCTTTGTCTCCTGGATGAAGTGTACCTGGACTGGCTCAGCCATAACATACATCCTTCCTCCGATGAATTGCCAGGTATGAGCACCTTCGTCTTTTCGGATGAGCTTCAACTCTTCATCATATATACTCTTGAAAGACTGGAGAATCCTCTCCGCTCTCTCCCAGGACTCCTCCTCACCGGTGCAACCGACCACTATGGAGACATCGTCAACCATCCTCCACGCCATCACTATTCTCCTGTCCGCCCCGAGATTTGATAGGAATCTGGCTTCTGCCATCGCACATGTCACCGTAGCTAGTACTGGGCTTGTAGTCTTCCCCATGGGGATTCCCACAAGCTGCCTTCTGATCACGTCACCGTGCATCATATAGGGATGCGATAGATCATATTCCACCATAATGTGAAGCATATCTAGTTTCACCGTGGTGTAGCCCTCCTCTCTCCGTGTCGTTTTCGACATCTGACACAACTTTCCCCTGTTCGCCACTCTCACTTGCCTCCAGCCCCGCTTCTCGAAGTACATGACCAACTCTGACACTGCATCCTTCACAAACGAGTGGGATATCGAGGAGAACATCTCCTTAATGTCGTAACATCTTCCCATTGCCATACTGCATCCTTCTTTTTGCAGAAGACTTCCGAACTGGTCAAGTTCTCTCTTCATCTCATATGCAGATCTGAGATTAAAATGCCTCACCCTTGGAAACCTTGTAATAAGGCAATTTGGGGCTCGGGCACACCTGCGTTGCGCCATCACTGCCGGATCTCCGCATGCTGGTGCGATCGGTCTCCAGTGTTGCAGGTCCTTGTCCTTTGGTATCACGTACGCCTTTCCCAAACGTCCATTTCTCTTCCATTTACCCAGCCCACCAAGCCCGGTCACCTCATAGTCACGTTTGCTTGTAGCCATAACCTCCGTCTCTGATTAGTCTACAGTCTCATAGTCTGGGTTCCATGTGAAGGTCTTGTCGAAGGCGTGCTTGTACAGGATCAGACAAATCAATGCCGTATCTTCGGGGTTCCGGTCCACTGGAGCTTGGGCCAGCCCTTCATATTGTAAAGCCCAGTCTCTCACTTGCCTCTCTGTCCAAGCTACACTTCCGCCACCGTCTCCTTGGAAGCAGGTTGCTACATCCAGTCCGTGTGTGTTCTTTCCGAGATAAGGCTGATAAGCCGTTGTTGTGTTGATACCCTGCAATAACTCCTCGCTGCTATTTTGTCTGTCCGACTTCGTTACATTCTTCAAATTTTGCACGAAAAACGGTGTTTCCTCCATATCAATCAACCTCGTCAGCACGTGTCCGTATTTCTTTACATGAAACCGCTCACATGGACATACGACCGAACGCGTGTGAGCGAACCTCCTATGGTTATGCACGGTGCTTCCTACCGTTCGGTTCTTTGTGCACACTATTATCACCTTCTTCTTGACGTACGTAGCTACAACTATATCTAGGAGTTTGTCATCTATCACAGACTCGGTCTTTCTCCTAACCTCTGACTGTAGTACCGACGCATTAAAATGATACTTAACTGTTACTCTCCGTTGTACGCTAACACCTGTTCTCCTCTTCAGAACACGGTCAATCTTGATCTTCAGTTTCTCCCTCGTTTCTTTCTTCCTCGAGAAGCCGGCGACCCTGTAGAGGCCTACCAGCTTCTTTGTCAAAGATATTGCCAGCGTCGCCACCCGCCTAGGATGCTTTAGTAGACTCAGAAGTTCGTGTTTGTAACGCTCCGTCGTGGTTGACGTCTTTCGGATCTTCACGAAAGAAACTTCCCCTCCTACCTCGCACAACTTCTTTGCTCGCTTCAGCACCATCGAAAAACCCTCGATCTTGACCTCCGTCAAACCGAATTGGGCACTTACGTTTCTCCACCCATCAGCCCAGGTCTAGCCTGGTGTGAAAACTACCTCTTGTCTCCCATCTCCTGCGGCGTGCCGTTCGTGCAACCAGTTCAGGATCGATGTACGTTCACCCTCTTGCGTAGCGGACTTCACGACTGGTAAGCCCACCGTTCTTAGACCTTTCTTCTTCCGCTCTCTCCTCCCCTTCCGCCGTCTTGTGGTCGTCCTCTGTTGCCTCCCTGTTCCCAGTGTGTTCAAACAAATCTCTGATCAGATGTCGCTCGAAACCAAAATCGTCCTGCTCCGTAGTGTGCCTCAACGGGAGTTTAGTGAACTTGTCTACACCGAACGACCTCATCCAACGACGAAGTTGTGGTGTTTTTCCCAGCGTGTTCGAAGTGGCTGTGTGTACATGTTCTCTCCATCTCTGCATAATCGGTCGTGTCGTACATCCCACGTACACTCTTCTTGCCCACGGGCTCACTATGATATATGTCCCACCGGTGCGCAGTTCCATCATATCTTCACCCACGTCCGCTTTATCCAAATATTTGGATAACCACCTAATCTCCCCTCTAATTCTGAGCAGCATTGTCGTCGTCGAGATTCTCCGATCTACTTCCGCCATTGGCTCTCCCTTTTTCCCTAGCCCCCGTAGGGTCCGCCTAGTGTCCATGTGCATCCTCAGGGACACCCACAGTTCACTGGTCATAGGGGGCTCACTTAGTCAACTTCACTGAGCAGATCTGATGACCGTCCTTGGAGGGACGAACGTCTTTGCCTTCGCTCGTGTTTCTACTACCTTCTTCGCGACCTCTCGTGGCGTCTTATCTGGTGTTTGCTCATCCTTGTCTTTATTCTTGGCTTCATTCTTCCCGTTCGGCGTTTCGAAGAAGCCTTCATACGCTCGCTCAGTTTCTCTCCTCACCAGTTCCATTATCATTTCATCGTTTTTCGCAGCTTTTATACCCTTTTTATCGCATATCTCACGTAGCTGATGCACCTTCTTCGCTAAGTATGCATGCATCACGTATAACGTCACCTGTAACGTATAGTCGACGAAGCCCTCCTTAGAGCAGCTTGCCAATATCCCTTTATACCCTCTGGTTAGCACTGTTCTTGGTTCCTACTCCCCGTCCAGTCTCTGTGTCATCGTGGATGTCGATTTCTTCGAACACTCTCCTTTCTCGTACGTCCTTGCTGGTGTCTTCTTCACAGGTCTTCCTCGCGTCCGCTTTCTCTTCGACTTAACTCGTCTCTTTTCTTCTCGTAGAAGTCGTACCATTCTCAACATCTCCTCCTCGGAGTCTTCGCTAGAGTCATTCGATGTTGAATCACTAATCTCTGAGTCCGAAGACGTGGGCGAATCGGTGCTCCGTTTGCTCGATCTTCTCTTCGTATTTCTCCTTCGTATAGGCCTCTTCGATTTCACCTTGGATATCGTCCTGCTCTGTGGTGACACCTTCGGACTTACGTTCTTCACAGACTCTGGTTTGTTCTCTCGCACCCTATTCGCCATCTCTTCTTGTTGTCTCCGCCACTTGTCTTCGATGTCCGCTTGTAGTTGTAGCTTCATCTCTTCAATCCTTCTTGCTACGTCCAGCTCCCTCTTCCTTTCCTTCTCTTCTTCCCTTTGCTTCTGCTCGTCCTCAACCCGTTTTTTTTTTCCCTCCTCCTTCTCTTCCATCAGATCCCTCATGAACACGTGCACCTCGTCGTCTTGCTGGCCCAATCTTCCTCGTTTTGACCAGCAATCCGAGCTATATGACCGGTCTTCCCACACTCATCGCACATCATTCTGCCTCTCCCACCGTACCCACCGTTGAAATTGTCGTTGTTGTTGTTCCCATTCCCATTATTCATATTGTTATTCATGTTGTTTGCACCTTCCCTCGTGTAGTATCCTTACTACTTCTCCCGACCTTACCTGTAGCACTAACCTCTAAAAATTTATGAACTAATTCTCTTCTCGACTAAACTTCGTCCTCATGGCCAGAACTAAAACTTTGTCCTCATGGCTAGAACTAAAACTTTGTCCTCATAGCTAGAACTTTGTATCTACCTCTAGCTAACACAGCCACCGTTCGGCTCAAAGGAAGACTCCGGTTACTGCGTTCCCACGTAGTGGCAGACTGCGGCAACAGCCTATATGGAGACACAGTGGCAATACAGTGGTGCATACGTACTCAGAAAACATCCATCAGAAGCGGTGAAAAATTCGAAGAAAGCGTCACAACAAGTACAAAACGAAAAACAACTTCCACGAGCTCAAACTCAATTTCCAGATAGATCCCTCTCTTCACGCATCACACCATTACTGCCACCACAGCTATCTCTCCCAAATCACGACAAAGTAGTTCCCTTCTACCGGTTTCGTCCGCCTACTAAGCGGACTCGCCAGGAAGGCGTACCCTCTCGCGTACTTTTGTCGACAACTCACAGATTGAGCTTAGGGATCTCTTTCTTGAGATCACCGACTGAGTGCAGGTTGAAGTGTGGTACCTGGTCTCTCCTGATCATTAAATTAAATGAGGCAGAGAGTGTGCCAGATGCCGCCCGAAAAGGACTGGTGAAAGAAGGAACGGTCGGCCACTATTTTGGCTTGTCCTTCTCCTTAACGATAATATAGGCATGCTGCAAGTTGCCCTTCTTATCCATTTGGTGATCTTACTGAATAGTCATTCCTCAAATTCAGCTCTTAGACTTGACAATCCCTCCTCCTCAGATTGCCGCACAATTTCATAGTTGTCATTAACCAAATACATCTTCTGTAATCCAACTTTATATAGTGGGCATATAACCCATATCTCGCTGGTGTTTCGATCAAGTGGGGACATAACCAAACCTTCCAACGCCCGTTGTCAGGCGGCTGCCTACCAGTCAAACGACTTTCTTTTCTGATGTGAATGAATTTCCGAACCTTTCTTTTTCTTTTTGCCTGAGTTTGGTGTATGCCTGCATGCGATTGGGAGGTTTGTTGGAGAGTCTGAGTTTCCGGGACTTCGTACTAACCCTTCAAGGGGGCTGAAGTGGCGGTTCGAACCACAATCGCAAGCGGGCTCTGGCAGACTTTGAAAAATCAAGGATTTCTTGGTGCCGGGGTCAAGAAATCCTGGGTTGAAAGATGACTTTGGGACGGGCTGAAAAACGGGGGGGCCTATAAGGGACCTGAGCTTTGACTATAAACTGCCACGGAACTACTTCTGGCGAGAGACTGCGGTACGGAAGGAGGGACCTTCGGGGTCCAGAGGGGGCTGACCGCGAGCTTGAGCCGGACCGTGGTGAGATGTGAAAATTCTTTGTCAACGGCTGTGGGGTGGCCGTGGGACCGTGACTAACCCTGGACAAGAGATGAGACGCGAAATGGCGCTCGAGATAGGAGGTCTTGGGATGGTTGCTGCATGAAGGATCGCACAGACAATCGGGCTCCGATGGCTGGGAGACTGGGGCAGAAGCGCGGTGAGCTTGGCACCAAGTGTCGATCGACTTCGAGGAAAGGAAAGGTTGGAAATGGTCGATCTCTGTACGGCGCGACGTCTATGGCACTCTTTGGGAAGAGGAAGGTGATCGGTCTTGGTAAAAAGGGGGGAGTTAGCTCACCCTCGCTCGCTCAAAACGAGTAGTCGACCTGGGCACATATTGGGGGCCGCGTGACGGGCTAATCAGAATTCGACCTGGAAGCCTGCGGCAAGGGATTGGCAAAAGGGGGAACGAGAGGTTTGACTACAAAAGGAGGGGGAAGCTCCAGTTCTGAGTTGGCCGTCGAACCTGAGCACCAGGAAACCTGGTCGGGGAAGAGCACGACGCGCCCGGTAAATCGGACAAGAGGGAGGGCGGAGGAAGTTTTTTTGCATGGCTCGCAACGGGAAAACGGGGAAAAAGCATGAAGACCGGAGCGGGAGATTAAGAAGCGAAATCGTTGTCAAGTGAGGTGACCGAGATCAGCTCTTGGAAACCGTCCAGGTGGGTTAATGCGGGCTTACTATGTACATGGAACAGATATCCGACCAGGTGCCGACACTGTGTGGCTGGAAGGGTCTAGGAGGGAAGCCGAACGGGCGAGAGCTGGGATTCGTCGAACCCTGGGATGGGAAAACAATGCAAAGGGAGCAATAGTGAGGAGGGAGACGAACGGCCAAGAAGCAGGGGTTCATCGAGTCCGTGGTCGGGGGCACACGGTGGAGCAAGCAGAAACAAGGGGGGAGGCGAACGGACGATGTTCGTCGGTGGGAAAGTACTGCATTGCGGGCAAAAACAAGGAAAAAAGAGTGAGCGTAACAAGAGAACCTCGAATCCACGGGCGAGCGGGGAGATCGCGGTGATTGAGTAAGAGTGGGAGGAGGTAGGATCGCTGAGCGAGAAGGTACGATCTTGAAAAAGTGGAGGAGCAAAGTTGCAGTTGAGCGGGAGATTGGAAAACGTTGAGCGGGGAAACAAGGAAGGTGCGAAAAGGGAGGTGGAAGGAAGAAGGAGATAAGGGGATTGGACGAATAGAGGGGGGGAAGGATCGACGCGGGGAGCATGTGTGATCGAGGTCACAATGCTGGTCGAGATCGATCCAGCTACTGAAGAAAGAAAGGATCCTATTGGAGGAGAGATGAGAAGGTGGATGATGGGGAGGAGGAGCGAAAGCGAGTCCAAGGGCAAAAGTGGAAGCGGGAAGGAAAATGGTTGAAAATTTTCGACCTTTTGGCGCCTTGAGAACCGGAAGTCGGGCCACGACAAGGGGCGGATAAGGCGAGAGAGGGAGAGGGCAAGTATAAAAGGGATGAGGGAGATACCGCGGGATAGAGGAGAAGAGGGGGAGCGCACGAGAGCTCGCGCTGCTTGCGCGTTCATCGGAGTTCATTAGTGTAGACGGGAACGGGGCAAGAGAGGAGGCGTACGGGACACGCAAGGGAGGCGCGAGCGAGTAGAGGCGGCGGGGAAGGACCAGCGCCTGGCCGCGCTCAACTGCACGGGCTGCGCACAATAGAGGGAGGCGAGGCGGGAGACAGAGAGGGAGAGAGGTCGAGAGAGACGGGAAAAAGAGAGGGAGAGAGATAGAGAACGAGGGGGAGATAACCGACGAGGTCCCTACGGGACTCGCGTGGTCTAGAGGCGGGTGGAGAAGATGAGGGGAGAGATAACGTGCACGTACGCTGCGTTCAGGAGGTGGCGCACGAAGTGGGGATCCGGGAGGTTCTTGGGGGAGAGAGTGTTCGCATACGTGAAGGCGCGGTTGGCGCATACGCACGAAGCACCGCTCCACCGAGGAGACGGGAAGGGAACTGGAGGGAGAGGGAGTGACAACGAGAGGACTTAGGGGAGGGACTAGCGCTCGAGGAGCCCTGCGCACGCACAATTTAGTGCCCAGAGTAGTTCTCGATAAGGCTGGAGACGGGGGAAGCGCGTGGGCGGACACCCGCGCCTGAGGTGCGCTGGGACGAAGAAGCGGCGGAGAACGAACAAGCTCGGCAGCTCGGGAGATGCAAAGGCAGAGAGTAAGAGAGGGGAGAGCGGGGCAGGGACCGCCAACGGACGGACGCTCGACGCATTCGTCGGACTCGTCGCCACCCGCTGTGGAAAGATGACGAAGGACGAGGGCGGCAGTCGCGGTGCTCCCGACGACGCTCGAAGAGGAACAGAGGGAGAGCGGTCCTGAAGAGGTACCGGGATGAGAATGGGCGCGAGAGTGGACGGACGTCTGGAGCTCGTGGCAGAGAGGGGGAGAGAGAAAGAGAAAGAGTGAGAGGAAGAGAGAAAGAGAGAGAGTGAGAGGAAGAGAGAAGGAGAGAGAGTGAGAGACACAGGGAAAGAGAGAGGGGAGAGAGGAAGAAATAGAGGAAGGAGGGTGACGAGATGGTGAGAGAAAGGTGCTCTCGGTAATTGGCTGAGAGTGCGCCGACGCTCGAGCCGCTGGCCAACTCTTCGAGCGATGCGCTCACCAAAGACGCAGGTTGTGAGGCGAACAGACGCACCGGGGCGGCCTCGGCGCTGACGAGATGGGAGCAGGGAGCTAGGGTCCTTTTCAAATCGACCACTCGTCCTCGATTGCTTGGTAACGCGGGCGCGAGGTGTCTGTAGCCGGGCAGGTTTCCAAAACCAGCTGATGTTGTTGTGAGTTTACGTCTGCACCCGGACCGGTCGAGCCGCTCAGACAAGAGGGCATTAGGGACTGGTCCGTTCGCTTGGGATCGGGCCGCCCGAGTGTGTGGATATCAGCGGCTTGTTTTGTTTTTTTTGTTAATCCTTTCTATCCGAACTGCTGCCATCGTATACAAGCTGTGTGTGTGTCCTCAAGTCAGTCCATGAGAATGCGCTCGGTGAGTTAGAGGGTCGGTCAGTTCGAAATCAAAATTGCAGCCAAATTGCGCCCGAACGAACAAGCTGGGGATCGGCGGGATTCCTGTGAAGAACAGGAATGCAATTTCYGAAGTCGCCCCAGTACRAGAGAGAGAGAGGGAGAAAGAAGAAGAGGGAGAGAGAAAGAGTGAGCAGGGAGAAAGAGAGAGAGAGAGGGGAGAGAGGAGAGGCAGCGAGAGAAGGAGAGAGGGGTAGGGGGAGAGAAGGAAAAAAAAAGGTAAGGAAGCTATGAGCGAGCTGATCTTGTCAAGCTCGTCCCCCAGGGTTTCTGGGCCAGGCTGCGGAAGTTCAGTTTCCTTTATTTCGTCGAGCTTGTTGTCGGCAGAACTGTTGTCCATCTATGGGTTATGAAGTCCGAAAGTTCTGAGTTCTCGCTTCGGGGCAAGCTCCCTGCAGTATGCATCTCCATCTCGAATTTGTGTAACTGTTGTCTGTCTCGATCGTCTGTCCACAAGTTACGAATAGCTATCAACGGGTGAGGTCTGAGTTCGCGTTCCGGGACAAACTCCCTGCAGTGAACACCTTCATCTTGAACTTGAGAAACTGTTGTCTGTCTCTACCATCTGTCCACGAGTTACGGGCAACTATCAATGGGCGAGGCTGGAAAGCGCCGTGTTCGCGTTTCGGGGCTGGCTCGCTGTAGTGAGCGTTTTCATCTTGAGCCTATAAAACTGTTGTATGACTCCGTCATCAGTTCATGAGTCACGGGGCTCTAGCAAAGGTTGAGACCCGAAAGGTCTGGGTTCACGCTTAGGGGCGAACTCGGTATTGCGAGCCTTCCCGATTGGAACCTGTAACTACCGAAAACTGTTGGCTCTTTGGGCTGATCGTCAGGGAAGGGCAAGAGAAGGAAGGAGAGGGGCCTTAAGGGAAGCCGAGACTGCCCCACAAAGTGGCGCCGTTGCCGGGGACGGGTTTTCTCCGATGGCCTCGACCGGCTCGAGAACCTAAGGTGAAGGAGAACCGGCGTGAAAGGTAAGTAGTGGGGCTTTCTTCAGAGTTTCGGCATCAATTCTTCGGTTCGTCGGCATCGAGGCTCTTGTCGGCATCAACACTTCCTTTTCAGTCCCGTTCTTCGGGACCTTTCTTCGGCTGCGACCTTCTTCGGGCCTATGCAGCGATTCGCGCTGACTACTTCGGTGGCGGCAATTGGTTTCTTGAGCGGTCAGGGGTGAGGGTTCTATTGGGGAGGGGTCTTTGTTTCGGTGGGTTATGGGCTTTGTTTGGGTGCAAGGGACTTGGGGGTGTCGGGAACTGTCGGTTTTGCAGGTCCACTCCGGCCCCGCTTGCCACTTCGGCCCTTGCTGCTCCGAACAATTCAGGTCAGTTTTTGTTGGGGAAGGTGACATTTTTTTTGGTATGTTTATTTCTAAAATCCGCTAACTAAGAGGGCGAAACTGGTTGCTTGTGGGGATTTGAATGAGGGTGAAAAATAACCAAAGGGGGGTAAGAAGAGCCGCGAGGGAGAATAATGTGATAGGGTCTGCACACGGGGGTGAGAGAGTGGACGCAAGGGGGAGAGAAGAAAGGGTTACTCGAGAGGGTCCGAGAGCGTTATCAATCTGGGATCCTAGGGGGTCGCCGAATATCCTCGACCCGCACGGGTTGTGGACGGCACCCGTACGGGGTATATCTTCCGCGCGGGAGAGGGGTTCACGAGAGGGGCTGGGGGTTTCGGTTCTCGATCCACGGGGTTTGCGGGCGGGACCCGCTCGAGAGACGCCTCTCGCGAGGGAGCGGGGTTCTCAAGCGGGAGCCGTTCGGGACTTGGGGGTGAGGAGAGTGGTGCTTCGGGTTCCAGGACTAGGGGGAGAGGAAACCACAACTGCCGTCGTGAACGAGGGGGATAGGGGTTTGCCTCGGGAAAGAGAGGCTTGTGATACGTGGGGTGCCTTGGACGAGGAATCGGAGGACGGATCTTGGGTGGACCGGTGCCTTGCCGATTTCTCGGACTTGGACCTAGGGGATTATTGGGATTACGAAAACGAATTTTGAAAGGGGTCGAGAACCACAAAGTACGTATATATATCTGCTTAACCTGAGAGACTTTTCCTAAATCTCTGCTTCCCCACCCCTTTTCCCTTTGGAGACCCCGATTGAATTCCTTGATTCCACGAGAGAAAAGAGTCAGCCGGAGGCGAAAAGAGAAGGGAACGAAGTGAGAAGGGTTCACGATGCGAGAAGGAGAATGGGAGGGAGTAGACAGGCTAGTGGTATCTGATCGCTAGGTGGATCAAGTCATGGGACCCGGGTAATTCCACGCTCGAGGTGGGCCGAGTAGGGGCGTGGTTCCGGATAGACTAACTTAGGACTAGGGGTCGGTTCGGTAGGGGACGTAGGGCACGGGTGTGTGGCTTCGGTCCGACTCCGGAGGAGGGGTTGCCACCCTTCTTCGGGGATAACCTGTGTTCGCGGCTAGTCCTTATACCTGGACGTGGGAGGACCTCTCAGCGGGGGAGGACAGGAAGGTAGCCGAGTGAGACGACGCTCCTTCTCTGGTCCATTTGATCCTGCTGGGCTCACAGGCATCTTCTTCTTGCAGAGTAAGGATGGTCTCTCGAGTGGCCAAATAGTGAAGGTGACAAAATTATCTCTCTTTGATTAGGGTGAATGAGCCTAGAAGCGGTCCCGGAAGGGATTAGCGTAAGAAGCTACGGTGGGGTCGACGTGTGGTGCTATACCGTCCGCCTGTGGACGGGAGACTTTGACGTGGCCATCTATGTAGAAGAGGGGCGAGACCAGGGAGAGAATTTCTTTCGCGGATGGGAGGCGGCGGTCAACGACTCCCGTGCGGCTAGAGGTGAGTTGCGAGGGTACGGATTCAGTTACTTCTACTCCTTAGGGTACCGGACTTATCCTAGGGGCAGCCGGCCTGCGCCGGTGATTCTTGACGCCTATCTCAACGGGTCGGACGGGTGGAGAGTATTAATCGCGATCATAGAAGAAATAGTGGGGCGCCTATGAGCTTAGGGGTTCTGGAGTTTGAACCAGCAGGCATTAGTGTGGGAAACCATGGGGGTGTAAACGTGTGGTGCTACAACTTTTACCTGTGGGCAGGGGATTTCGATATAGCGCTTTACGTGGAAGAAGGGACTGACCAAGGGGAGACCTTCCTAAATAGTTGGGAAGAAGCGGTTGGTCATGCCCAGCTAGAGAGGGAGCTGTTAGGGCACTACGGGGTTAGATATTTCTATACGTTGGGGTGTCGAACCTTCCGGCGAGGAGAGCGACCTGCTCCAGTGATTTCGGACGCCTATCTCGACGGATCGGACGGGTGGAAAATATTAGTGGCGATCATACAGGAGATTGTGGAGAATTTATGAGTTTAGGGATTTGAGCTGACAAGCGTGTTTGGGGGGATCATTAGGGAGGCAGTGCAGAGCCAGGAGGGGCATGGTTAGGATTGTGGAAGCAGCAGAAGACGGCAGGGTAAAAATCGAGAACGCTGACCTTCTCAAAGAGCGATAATGCTTCAGTGTCCCCTTGGATCATCGTACGGAGAGGTACCTAGCTGGGAGTGAGAGAGGGGTGGAGCTTGAGAAGGGTGTCTTTCTGTGGGCACGATTCGCCGTAGGCATTTGGGAAGGGGATCAGTGGACCAGGAATAAACCTAGGAACGGGGGGAAGGCGCGGCGAGCGGCAGTTCGTGCCGAGGGCACGGTCTATCTAAGTCAAGAGGCGTGGGTTGAGTACGTCACCCACTGGGCCTTAGGGTGGTATCGGGCGGACCACTGGGAGTTACGCGCGGGGCCTATCCTGAGGCGGATTTTCGAGGAGGTGCCCCTCCAACATAGCCTACCGTTCCGCTTGCGAGTGACTTGCACTCGGGACGAGGAATACCCATGTGCCCTGGGTTGCGTCTAGGATATATTTCCTTCTTACGTCTTTAGGAGGGTGTGTGGAGAGGGGACCGCGTATGAGAAAGTCGTGAGGTCTATAAGGCGAGAGAGAAGGAGGGGCCTGTCCTTTCGTTCGCTCCACTGGTTCTATTCCTATTGTGTGGACAACCCTGTCCCGTACGGGGTTAGGGCAGATCGGATCAAGGAGAGGATCTATCTGGAGTCGGAAAGAGACCGTGAGGGCGGGTGAGACTACCGATACCAAAGGGTGTTTGGGGTGCGTCAAAAGGTAGGATAGAATGAATGGTTCTATTTAACCGGAGCGTCGGGGGGTTTGTTGAGTCCCCTCTAGGCGAGCGAGGGGTGTGTAGCATGGTTCCAAGCAACGGAAGAGTCCCCGATTGGAGAAGAATAGAGGGAGGAGAGATTATGGCCGAAGGAAATTTCGTGTGGGTAGAATCGGAAGAAGAGAAAGAGAGAACGGTTGAGGTGCGTCTTAAACTCACCTCGATAATCTTCATCAAGCCGGAGGCCTGGTCGAAGATTATTTTACCCCTGGTCTTGGGCCAAGGGGGTGGGCTGGACTTATTGATCAGAGAGGCTAGAGAAGTCAGAAGAAGGTGGATAGAAAGGGTCTGAAGGGAGTTTGAGTTTGAGGCATTGGAGGCTGAGAGGTTCGCTAGGGCAGGCGAACTCCCAAGGGCGGGTTACCCCGTGACCGTGTGGGTCCCAGACTTTGTGTTCTTAAGTACGAGCGAGGGAAGAGTGGTGAGACTCTTGGAAAGAGGAAGGAGTTTGGGATTACCCTTTGGGGCCTTGTGGGCACTGTACACGCATTGTATCGATCAGGGTATCCCTCCACGCAGGAAGCTTTAGGGTATTTTCAGGAGATTGGGGTCCTTGGAGAAACCCTTTACCCTCTCACCGGAAAGATACCACCGGTGGGTTTTCAAAACGACGTCGGTAGATGGTGAGATTTGTGCTCGGTGAGAACGGGGTGGTAGAGGCGATAGAGGCCAGTGACGCAGGTAAAGTCTTGATTCCAGGGGACCCTCGCGTGACGCCCTACTGGATGAGCGTTGAGAAAGGCGGAGTCATCCGGGAAGGCGCCTACGTGTGGGTTCGAGCTCGCAGGCTTACCTGGAAAGAAGGAGTGCAAAGAGGAGGTCCGCCTGACCTCGGTCGGTTCCTAGAGATTCGGGCTACGATCTTCCTCAACGAGGACACGTGGACTGAAGTGTGGAGGGGTTTAGTAACCGGCCAAGAAACCCATACTGAGTACCGTGAGTCCGCGAGGCTGGTAGCAAACAATCTAGTACTGAGTGATTACGAAGAAGGGACCTTCGAGTCGTGGACCCAGGTGTCCTTCGTCGAACCAGGCGAGGTCCCTCGCGCGTCCGGAGTTCTCCACGCGGAGCTGCCTCAATTCCTGACGCGCTCATTCTTGAGAGACCCGGAGGAAAGAGTGGTGGCGGTACTTAGAGCCGCTCGGGAGACCGGAGTGCGGACGAGAGGGTTGTTCTGGCTCTGTACGCGGCGTGTGGACGCTGGGGTTCCCCCTAGGGGAGAGTTGTCCTCTATATTCGAGAGATTGAGGGAGTTTGAGGGGGTTCGAGCACACGTCGCGGACGTCCCGTACGTCCGCCTCTTCGGGGAAGAGCAGGTGGCTAACCGGCCGGGGTACGACGCTCGATGATAAGAGGGGTTCCAGGGACTCTTTGGGCCTCAATAGAGCCTGTGAGTGGGGAAGGGGAGGTTGTTCACGTCTCATTGCCCAAGGAAAGTCAAAGGGATCCGACAAGGGTCATTCGAAGGGAAGTAGCCGAGATCCACCGAGGGAGAGCATTCGTTCGATTGATAGTGATCAGTGGAGAGGGGTTGGTGGTCGGAGAGGCCACAATGTTCCTTTCTAAGGAGGGGTTCCTGGAGGTGGTCCACAACTTGAAATTGAGGGAGGACCCGCTTGTAGACGCACCGGCGATTCAAGAGCGTTCAGAGAGGTTTGTGGAGGAAGCACGTCCTCGAGAAGAGTACCCTAGGGTCTACCGAGTGACCTACGAAGTTGGGAAGAAATACCTCGGTTTTTCGACAGTGACCCCGTCGGAGTCCCTCAATTCATCCTTGAGCGGGTTTATCCCTCGGAAGCGGTCCGGAAGGCGGTGGGACGTAGGGTCGCGATCCTGAACCAATTTCGGTTCACAAGGTCGGACCAGCATTCCCTATTGACCTGGTGCCTTCAGAGTCCGTACGAGGACAATTGGTCGTCACTAGAGGGCCTGGGCTACGCCTTTGAGGGTTGGGGCCAACACGTAAAGGTCTCGACCATCACCTGGAGGTACTTGGGAAAAATATTTGAGGCGGGGTTAGAAGGATTAGACCCCTCGGATCTCATACGGATAGCTATAGCATGTCGACGGAGGAATTTGAGGCATGAGTGAGTCCGACATCGGTGAACTGGTGAGTTTCAAAGGGTTAGGGCAGAGTTATACCGGATATTGGCCCTTTGCTGGGAAGAGGAAAGGAGGGCGAGTCCAGGAGCCTTACGGAGGATCAAATTGTTAGAGACTACCGTGATCAAAGTGCTAGATGACTTAAAAGAGGAGCTACTCTCCGGGAGAGGAGAGGCACGAGAGCCTCCTACACCTCAAGCTCGATAAATTGGGAGTTGGAGACAAGGGACGACGACCTCAAGGTCGAGATAGTAGGAGGAGCGGATCTTGGCCCAGGCCTTGGAGAGGACCAAGTGGTAGAGCCGAGAGGAGCTTCCTCGTCGAGATCCGGCGACTGGCCTTGTGGAAGAGGAGGTCCTGGACTACCTTAGCGAGGTTTTCGATCGCTATTAGGGGGGCGAGAGGGGTGCGGTTCTCTTGAACGTGGAGGTTTGAGGAAGACTCAAGGTGGCTTGGAAACCCACTCGAGGCTAGGGTGCACCTAGTAGAGGCGCGTTTCTGGGATAGGTCGGGTGAGTGCGAGCAAGCGCTGCATCGAACGATACTCGAGCAGGGTGAAGGCTCTCGAGAGAGGTGTGAGGACTCGCTCGTCGAGGCGGCAGAGAGATTGGCTCGGGTAAGGTAGGCCGACCAATGATTAGGTACGATAGGGGAGACCCTATCGGAACCCTGGAGAGAGCCTGGAAGACGGGATCTAGGTATGGAGTAACCCTCCCTAGGGTTGAGGAAGAAGGGGAGGTCACTACGGAATTCTTTGAAATATACGGGCAGGAAACGCTAGTCCGTTTCTCGGTAGTCTCAAGGGATGGTACACACATGCGAAGAGCAGAGATCTTCTTGTCTCACGACGACAGACAGTTCTTTGCTACCGAGTTGGCGGAAGGAAAGGACCCTCTGGGTATCGCGGAGAGAACCCGAGACCGACTTAGAAGGTTGAGACGGGGAGTGATAGGAAGGTGTGAAATAGAGAAGGTTGAATACTAAGGACGGTTAGAAATTCAGCGGGCGGCCCACGGCCGAACCTGGGAAGTCCCTACCTGGGTCTACCGTTTTCTCTACCCAAACGACGTCTCGGTAAGCAAAGTCCAAATCAGGGGACCGATAATCGAGAAATTCCCCTCAGGAGAAGCAAAGGGGCACGAGTTGTTCACCCTGTGTTAGGAGTCCCTAGAGCTCACAGACTTTGAGTGGTGGGCTTTGGTCGGCGATTTCATCAAGCCCCTGTTCTCGGGACAGGCCAGAGAAGTAGATAGAGGCCTGATTAGGCGGTGCTCGCAGGAAGGGATTAGGGGTGTCTCGGATATGGAAATTGCCAACCTCGCACTAGCGGCTTACGAAGAGAAAAAAGTGTGAGACTCTTGGTGGACTGTGACTAGTGAAGAGTCCGAAGAAGATAGTGAGGCACGAGAGTCAAGAGGCTCGGAAGAGAGTAATGGGGCGGAAGGACAAGGAAGTGACTCTAGTGGAGAAAGCGACTAAGAACTGGTGCATGGAAAGTGTGGTTGAGCACGGGGTCGACCAAACACCTAAGACCGCTGCTATGGGGCGAACCGAGGAGGATACCGAATTAGGGGCAAGGTTGAGTAAGTCAGCCGAGGGGGTGACCGAGGGGGTAGAAACTATGGGTAGAGCCTTAACAAACCTGGAAGAACCCCTCGGAGAAAAACCTCTGGAACCGCGTGCAAGCTCAGACGAGCGTTTGCACCGAGAGATGGAACCACGTGTACCTATGAGAGAAAGGGTGGCCGAAGTCACAAGGGGCTTCCTCGTCGAAAGCCGATGGGCGGACCACGTGGACACGGAAGAGAGAATCGGCGAAGGGCAGGAGTGCCCTCGTGACAGGGCTGGATGCTGGGCACCGAGGAGAAGGGAGGAAGGTGGCCCGAGGAGGAGGGAACTTGGGGACGGACGACCAATCGAGATTGGGGGAGGACCGCGAAGATGGGCAGGCAGGGAGGTCGGTCCCGCTTAGACGCGAGAAGAGGCGGTAGGAAGGAGTGTGGGAGGACCAGGAGATATCTGGAGAGGGGCTAGGGCCCCGGAATCCATGCATTGGGAACACGAAGACCTGGGTTATGGGGGTCGCAGGGAGGAAAAATCATAGGGACCTCCGAGACCCCGACCCCGGATAGAAGATTTGGACCCTTCCTGGTACAAACCCTACAATCCAGCGATAGATGGGCCGGCCGATGGGCCTTACTTCTGTCGATATGACGATCGCCGAGTCCTTTATTACGATGTGAACCTAGGGCTAGAATCGCTCTATTTTAACGGAAGGGACGTAACCGGGTTCGTGGAAAAGTGGGAGAGTTACGCCTACCGGAAAAAGTTTTCGAAAAAAGAATGGATCGACCACTTCATACAACATTCGGACCCGGAGTTGGACCAGGCCATCACAGCCGTATACCCGTCTGATGGAAGGTGGAAGACCTTCAAAAGCAGCCTACTGAGGATCTTTGCGTGTGACGACATGATCCCCACGATAGAAGGGTTGCGTCGGGTGACGAGAGGAGAGCAAGAAAGCCTGGTGGCCTTTACGCGGAGGTTCGAACTTTTGTCCCAGGCCTTAGTGGATAGAGGGATTCTTTCGGAAGTCGACAGGTGCGTAATGTTCATATTGCACCTGCCTGAGGAGAAGAGGAGGGAGGTCCTCGAAAAGACCCCTAGGGACTCCGCTAACTTCGAAAGGGTCGTCGGAGTAGTCTTCACCGGGGGAGGTGTGGACGTCCAGGAATATATGAAGGAAAGTATGGACATGGCACTCCGGAGTATGCGCTCCCAAAAGGGTGACGGTCCTCGTGGTAACGAAAGGCAGCCTCCGGGGCCTCCCGCCCAGCGCTGGGGAGGAGGACCCCCGGGTTGGCGAAACGAACCCGGCAATCAAATGAGTTGGAGGGCCAATCGAGAGGCCGGAGGGAAGCGGGCCTCAGAATGGGGAAATTCCCGGTGGAAGGATGCCAGGGATGGAAGATGGGGAGACCCTCCTCAACCTAAGGCCATGGGGGCTCGACCAGAGGTTCGTCAGGCTAGAACGCCGCCGCCTCTTGGACCTCTTGCGGCAACGGGAGCGCCCACTCAAGTCGCTCCCCGCCCTAACAACCCGCCGCCTCGAAGCGGGTGTGTCTATTGCAACAAGGAGGGTCACATCAAACGAGAGTGCCCTTACCTTACGGAAGCCCTAAGGTTGGGGGTGGTAAAATTAAATGAGAATAAGTGGGTAGTTTGGGGGGACGATGGGGAAGTTGTATCCTTCTATCCCTCAATGAAGGTGAACGTGGACAAGAGGATAGCCCTCCAGGAGGCAAGATTGGGGAAGAAGCCCGAGGTAGGGAGCGCTTCCAATTCATCCCGCGTCCAAGTGACAGAGCCACCAGGAGGCGTGTCCATTAGGGAACCCCAGGTGTCAAGCATCAAGTTCGTTGAGACCCAGCCCGAAGAAGAAGGGTCTTGCCTAAGTGTAGGAACCCAAGTTGGGGCCGGGCCGTCCGAAGGCAAGGAGAGCGCGACGGAGGGTGGAGGAAGGAGTGGCGACGACGACCAACCGATGGTCGACGCCAAAGGCACGAAAGAAAGGAAAGGAGAGGAACCCACTTCACCCACTTCACCAAAAAAAAAAATCACCTAGGAAGAAGGGGGTGAAAAAGTTCGAGATGAAATGCACCTTAGACGAGATAGACACGGTAGCTCCCCTACGGAGGACCCTAATGCAGCCTATGCAGTGCACCCTTCTCGAATACTTGGCGGCCAGCAAGAGCACTAGGGAAGAGCTCCTAAGCATCACGAGGAAAGTGAGAACCCCGCTCGTGGGAGGGCCCACGGTTCCGGGGGTTGGACCTGCCAAAGGAGAACTGCAGTCCTCCCGGATCACTATGGAGGAATTACCGACGAATTTCTTCTCGGGAGAAGAGGCCAAAAGGTTCTATGTATTAGGGAGCGGCCAACTCCAGGCAATGGTAAGTGGAAAGAAGATAAGGGCCTTGGTGGATAACGGGTCCGAATCCACGGTATGTAGGGACTCCATTGCCCGGGAGTTAGGTCTGGAAGTAGATAGAGGGGTGTCCATGTCGATGGTCGTAGCGGATAACAAGCTGCACCCGGCGGAGGGGGTGTGTCATAACCCCATGATCGAAGTCGCCGGCGTCGAGGCCACGGTCCCAATATTTTCGGTGAAAGAGTGTTCCTCAGAGTTGATCCTCGGGAGAACCTGGCTGAGTGCGGTCCACGCTACCACGGTTGACCTACCGGATGGGAGTCAGACTCTCTCAATCCAAAGTCCGGATGAAATCCGGGTGGTCCTAAAGACCGTGGACGCTCAAGATGAGCGAAACTGGACCAGCATTCCAAGACGGAAGGAGGCCCTGTCAAGGGTGTGCCAAGTCCGCCAAGAAGAATCACCCTTTGCTGATAAGGAGCCTCCGGGGGACCGATTGGATGTCGAGGATGTCGTGGGCAGGGTCGTGATCAATGGGGTAGGATACGAGAAGGAGGATGAGGAAGAGGAGTTCGGTGGTTACGTGAGGCTGTCTTTTTTGGAGGAATCCCCCTAGCCGGCGAAATCAAGAAGCATAAAACCGTGGTGGAGAAAGTGAAACCTGCTGCGGTCAGCCGGGATAGAATGGGGGAAACTTCGATATTGGATGAGGAAATCGCCGATATCATCCGAAAGAGGAAGGAGACCGATGGGCAAAGAATTACGACCGATAGGTTGGCAAAAATGGATATAGGGGATGAGAACCTCACGGAGAAAGAAAAGGAGTACGTAGCGATGACCCTGAGGAGCTGCGATAAGGCTATAGCCTTTGATGACTCGGGGAGAGGAAGGATCGACCCGAGGTATGCTAAGCCCGCCCGGATCCACACGATCCCTCACGTACCTTGGAAAGACAGACCCCAATGGAAGTATGCTCAAAAGGAGAAGGAGGAGATAGTGGCCTTTATCAAAGAAAAGATAAGGACGTTCGTCACGGAGCCTTGTGAGAGTGCCTACTCTAACAAATGGTTCTTTCTGAGGAAAGGGGGTAGCAACAAGTTGAGGTGGATTCAGAACCTCCAGAGGACCAACGCAGTCACTATAAGGGACATGGGATCCGTACCTGAGGCTGACCTACTTGCGGAAGGGTCTGCAGGTTGCTCCGTCTACTCAATCTGCGATCTCTTCTCGGGCTATGACGAGATCCCCTTGGACTACCGAGATAGCCACATGACCGCCATGTACACGCCTCTAGGGCTGGTACAAATGATGGTAGTACCTAAGGGGTGGACGAACGGCGTAGCAGTGTTCCAAAGGGCCATGATAATAGTCCTCAAGGAATTCATACCGGAGAAGGTGGAAGTCTTCCTTGATAACTTCCCGATAAAAGGACCGGTCGAGCGGGACGAGACGGAGGTCTTCCCCGGGGTGAGAAAGTTCGTGGTAGAACATATGAAGGGTGTCAGAGAAGTCCTTGCTAAGTTGGATGACGCCAACCTTACTGTGAGCGGGACAAGGAGCCACTGGGGGGTGTCGGCGATCAAAATATTGGGATTCGTCTATGACAAGGAGGGGCGGCGGCCCGATTCTGCTAAGTTAGAGAAGTTAATGACCTGGTCGTCACCACTTAAGTCAATCACGGAAGTTAGGCAATTTCTAGGGGTGGTGGGCTACTGGAGGATCTTTATAAAAGCCTACAGCGAGAAGGCGGAGCCACTTAGACGACTGCTTAGAAAAGCTGAAGGGTGGACTTGGGGAGAAGAACAAACCGCGGCCATGAAAGCCCTTAAAGAAGAATTCCGCGAAGGAGGACAGGTCCTAGGCGTCCCCTTCTTCGAGGACGAGGAGAACCGCCCGTTTGTAGTTGTTACGGACGCTGGACCTTGCTCCGTGGGTGAGCTCCCGTCCCAAAAATATCAAAACGGGAAAGAGAGGCCACTTCGGTTCGAGAGTCGGGCCTTAAACCCCGCCGAAAGGAACTATAGCCAGTTCAAGAAAGAAGTTCTGCGGGTTTTGCACTGCCTAAAGACCTTCCGCCACTACATCTATGGGAGGCGTTTCCTCCTGAGAGTAGACCCAACCGCGGTAGCGGCTGTCCTTCAAAAGGACTTCTCGCTAACCGACCCGACTATCGCTAGATGGATGATCTATATTAGACTCTACGATTATAGAGTCGAGAGGATCTCCGGGCCAAAAATCAGGTCGCCGACAGACTGTCCTGACTCCCGATCCGAGAGGAGGATTATCCAAGGTTGGAGGAAGAGAGGGCAGCGATGACGACAAGGCAAGGGGTCCAAGTGGCTGCTAACAAGGCGCGGGTAGGGGTGACAATCCGTGAAGAAGAAAGAAGCTTTGGGACGTTCCTCGCTAACCTCTACGACGGAAAGTACCGCGACATAGGGCTATACCTAGCTGGAAGGAGAGAAGGCACCGAGGTGATTAAGTGGGAAGAGCTCGACTATTGCCTACGAGGAGGGCACCTCTTTAAGAGGCCTACCAAGTTTGCAATTCCCATGAGGGTGCTTTGCTATCCGGAGGAAAGGAAGGCAATCATAGAAGAGCTGCACGATGGAATCGTCGGGGAGCATAGGGGGGTAAAAAAAACTTTTGGTAAGGTTCGTAGGCTCTATTGGTGGGACGGGCAGTATGGGGAAGTCGAAAAGTACTGTTCGACCTGTGAAGCTCGTCAAAAGAGGGCGACCGTGAGTTACAAAGAACCCCTGGTTCCGTCGCTACCCACTGTTCCAGGCGAGAAGGTCCACATTGACGTAGTAACCATGCTTAAAGGAGTCGGCGGGCTTCGATACATAATCAATGCCCGTGACGACCTCACCGGATTCGTAGAGGCTAAGGCTATTAAGAAGAAGACGACCGAAGAGGTGAGCAACTTTATCTTAGAGTACATCGCAAGGTACGGGTGCGTCGGAAAGGTCGTCATGGACAGGGGGTCCGAATTCCTAAGTCAAAAGGTCAAAACATTTTTGGAGAAGGCGGGGATTAAGGCGGCCTACACGACTGCCTATCACCCCCAGCAATGCCCCGGTCGAAAGAGGTCACCAAACGCTTGTGGATGCCTTAGCAAAGTGGTGCAAGGGTCGCACGGAGCAATGGCCAAAATACTTGCGCTACGCAGTTTGGGTCGACAACATCAAGGTCAAATCGAGCACGGGGTACCCTCCTTATACTCTTTGGTTTGGTAGGCACTGCCCTTTGCCCATTGAATTTCATGTCGACACTTGGACGAGTGTCTCGTGGAAGTCCAACATGACGAGGACTGAGCTATTGGAAGCTAGGATACATCAAATATCCGAAAACCTTGACGCAAGGCTTGCCGAGGCGGGAGAAAACATCGAGAGAGAGAAAGTGAAGGGAAAAGAAAGATGGGACAAAAACCTACGGGTCCGGCAAAAGCCAATAGGGACTAGTGACCTCGTCCTAATGTATGACTTGTCGTTGGAGAAAACTTGAAGCAGGAAGCTAGCCAACAGGTGGATGGGGCCGTACCGGGTCTTGAAGAGATTAGATGGAGGGGCGTACCTTCTTGCCGAATTGGACGGGGCTAGGTTACGGGACCCTATCGCAGGGGCCCGCCTCAAACTTTTTCGATGCAGAGAAAGCCTTAGAGGGGAACCAAAAAGGAAGGACAAGGAAGCGGTCGACGCGGAAGCAACCGTCACCCACGAGAAAGGAGAGGCTTCGAGGCACGCCGAAGAGGGGGTATAAGGTTCGGAAACCTCCCCTGCCAAAGACCCCTAGAAGGAAGAAACGGTCAAGGGAGGATGACAGTGACACCGATCAACTAGGAAAACGCAGGATGAGGAAGGGAAGGAATGCCTCAAGGAAAGCCTTGAGGCTCAAGCATGAGAGAGAAGAAAGGAAGGGAAGGAGAGAAAGGCGCGAGAAAAAGATGCGGAGACGGATACGGATATAGAGCCGCTTGGGAGAAGGGGGAGTGATGTACCATAATTAAGAGAAAACATGTATCGAAATACCAAAAAAGGGGAGGTGCCATAGTTAGAAAGAACATATTGTACCATAGTTAGGGAAAACATGAGTCGCGGTCCCAGAGGGAGGTGCTGGACCATAGTTAAAGGAAACATGTGTCGTGATTCCGCGAGTAGGGGACTAAGGGGGGCGGTGTCGTGATGAGGTGATGAGGTCTAGGAACCAAGAAGTCAAGGGGGAACAAGAGATAAACGTAAACTCATGATCAAAAGAAGTGGAACAATGCGGACCATGGTCCAAGAAAAGAAACGATCAGTAGGTATACGGGAAAGTTCGCCGGGGACGGCGAGATTTGGGGTGTGGGCTGGTTGTCAGGCGGCTGCCTACCAGCCGAACGACTTTCTTTTCTGATGTGAATGGATTTCCGAACCTTTCTTTTTGTTTTTGCCTGAGTTTGGTGTATGCCTGCATGCGATTGGGAGGTTTGTGGGAGAGTCTGAGTTTCCGGGACTTCGTACTAACCCTTCAAGGGGCTGAAGTGGCGGTTCGAACCGCGATCGCAAGCGAACTCTGGCGGACTTTGAAAATCAAGGTTTTCTTGGTGCCGGGGTCAGGAAATCCTGGGTTGAAAGATGACTTTGGGACGGGCCGAAAAACAGGGGGGCCTATAAGGGACCCGAGCTTTGACTATAAATTGTCGCGGAACTACTTCTAGCGAGAGATTGCGGTACAGAAGGAGGGACCTTCGGGGTTCGGAGGGGGCTGACCGCGAGCTTCAGCCGGGCCGTGGTGAGATGTGAAAATTCTTTGTCAACGGTTGTGGGGTGGCCATGGGACCATGACTAACCCTGGACAAGAGATGAGACGCGCAACGGCGCTCGAGATAGGAGGTCTTGGGATGGTTGCTGCATGAAGGATCGCACAGGCAATCGGGCTCCGATGGCTGGGAGACGGGGGCAGAAGCGCGGTGAGCCTGGCACCAAGTGTGGATCGACTTCGAGTAAAGGAAAGGTCGGAAATGGTCGGTCTGTGTATGGCGCGACGTCTATGGCACTCTTTGGGAAGAGGAAGGGCATCGGTCCTGGTAAAAAGGGGGGAGTAAGCTCGCCCTCGCTCGCTCAAAACGAGCAGTCGACTTGGGCACATATCGGGGGCCGCGTGACGGGCTAGTCAGAATTCGACCTGGAAGCCTACGGCAAGGGATTGGCAGAAGGGGGAACGGGAGGTTTGACTACAAAAGGATGGGGAAGCTCCAGTTCTGAGTTGGCCGTCGAACCTTAGCACCAGGAAACCTGGTCAGGGAAGAGCACGACGCGCCCGGTAAATCGGACAACAGGGAGGGCGGAGGAAGTTTTTTTGCATGGCTCACAACGGGAAAACGGGGAGAAAGCATGAAGACCGGAGCGGGAGATTAAGAAGTGAAATCGTTGTTGAGTGAGGTGACCGAGAACAGTTCTTGGAAACCGTCGAGGTGAGTTAATGCGGGCTTACTATGTACATGGAACAGATATCCGACCAGGTGCCGACACTGTGCGGCTGGAAGGGTCTAGGAGGGAAGCCGAACGGGCGAGAGCTGGGATTCGTCGAACCCTAGGATGGGAAAACACTACGAAGGGAGCAATAGTGAGGAGGGAGACGAACGGCCAAGAAGCAAGCAGAAACGAAGGGGGAGGCGAACGGACGATGTTCGTCGGCGGGAAAGTACTGCATTGCGGGCAAAAACAAGGAAAAAAGAGTGAGCGTAATAGGAGAACCTCGAATCCACGGGAGAGCGGGGAGATCGCGGTGATTGAGTAAGAGAGGGAGGAGGTAGGATCATTGAGTGAGAAGGTATGATCTTGAAAAAGTGGAGGAGCAAAGTTGCAGTTGAGCGGGAGACTGCAAAAAGTTGAGCGGGGAATCAAAAATTTGGCGAGATATCAGCGGGGAAACAAGGAAGGTGCGAAAAGGGAGGTGGAAGGAAGAAGGAAATAAGGGGATTGGACGAATAGAGGGGGGGGAGGATCGACGCGGGGAGCATGTGTGATCGAGGTCACAATGCTGGTCGAGATCGATCCAGCTATTGAAGAAAGAAAGGATCCTATTGGAGGAGAGATGAGAAGGTGGATGATGGGGAGGAGGAGCGAAAGCGAGTCCAAGGGCAAAAGTGGAAGCGGGAAGGAAAATGGTTGAAAAATTTCGACCTTTTGGCGCCTTGCGAACCGGAAGTCGGGCCACGGCAAGGGGCGGATAAGGCGAGAGAGGGAAGGGGCAAGTATAAAAGGGATGAGGGAGATACCGAGGGAGAGAGGAGAAGAGGGGGAACGCACGAGAGCTCGTGCCGCTTGCGCGTTCATCGGAGTTCATTAGTGTAGACGGGAACGAGGCAAGAGAGGAGGCGTACGGGACACGCAAGGGAGGCGCGAGCGAGTAGAGGTGGCGGGGAAGGACCAGCGCCCGGCCGCGCTCAACTGCACAGGCTGCGCACAATAGAGGGAGGCAAGGCGAGAGAGAGAGGGAGAGAGGTCGAGAGAGACGAGAAAAAGAGTGGGAGAGAGATAGAGAACGAGGGGGAGATAACCGACGGGGTCCCTAGGGGACTCGAACGGTCTAGAGGCAGGTGGAGAAGATGAGGGGAGAGATAACGCGCTAGTACGCTGCGTTCAGGAAGTGGCGCACGAAGTGGGGATCCGAGAGGTTCTTGGGGGAGAGAGTGTTCGCGTACGAGAAGGCGCAGTCGGCGCACACGCACGAAGCACCGCTCCACCGAGGAGATGGGCAGGGAACTGGAGGGAGAGGGAGTGACGACGAGAGGACTGAGGGGAGGGACTAGCGCTCGACGAGCCCTGCGCACGCACGATTTAGCGCCCGGAGTAGTTCTCGATAAGGCTGGAGACGAGGGAAGCGCGTGGGCGGACGCCCGCGCCTGAGGTGTGCTGGGACGAAGAAGCGGCGGAGAACGAACATGCTCGGCAGTTCGGGAGATGCAAAGGCATAGAGTAAGAGAGGGGAGAGTGGGGCAGGGACCGCCAACGGACGGACGCTCGACGCGTTCGTCGGACTCGTCGCCACCCGCTGTGGCAAGCTGACGAAGGACGAGGGCGGGAGTCGCGGTGCTCCCGACGACGCTCGACGAGGAACAGAGGGAGAGCGGTCCTGAAGAGGTACCGGGATAAGAATGGGCGCGAGAGTGGACGGACGTTTGGAGCTCGCGGCAGAGAGGGGGAGAGAGAAAGAGAGAGAGTGAGAGGAAGAGAGAAAGAGAGAAAGAGAGAGAGTGAGAGGAAGAGAGAAGGAGAGAGAGTGAGAGACAGAGGGAAAGAGAAAGGGGAGAGAGGAAGAAATAGAGGAAGGAGGGTGACGAGATGGTGAGAGAAAGGTGCTCGCGGTAATTGACTAAGAGTGCGCCGACGCTCGAGCCGCTGGCCAACTCTTCGAGCGTTGCGCTCACCAAAGACGCAGGTTGTGCGGCGAACAGCAGCACCGGGGCGGCCTCGGTGCTGACGAGAGGGGAGCAGGGAGGTAAGGCCCTTTTTCGAATCGACCACTCGTCCTCGATTGCTTGGTAACGTGGGCGCGAGGTGTCTGTAGTGGGGCCGGTTTCGAAAACCAGTTGATGGTGTTGTGAGTTTACGTCTGCACCGGGACCGGTCGAGCCGCTCAGACAAGAGGGCATTAGGGACTGGTCCGTTCGCTTGGGAACGGGCTGCTCGAGTGTGTGGATATCAGCGGCTTGTTTTTTTTTTTTTTGTTAATCCTTACGATCAAGTTGGAGACAGGAAACAAATAAAGGGGATGGAGAAAGCTCTCTAGGCCGGGAGGGGCGCCCGGCTGAGAGACATCGGTCCCCCAAAGGAACGTGGTGCAATGATCTACAAAGCGAAATACGGTGCGTGCCTCCCAACCACAATTACATCTATCCACCTTCGACTTGTCCCTCCCCCTAAAGCCAGCCATGCAGAATACTTGCTTTCCATCTTCTTACAAAGATAGGAAGAACGAATAAATAGCGATGCGAGACAAGGGGGTATGGGGCAGACAAACCAGCACAACCGTGAGACGGAGACGAACATACATGGGACATGGGCAGAGAAAATAAAAAGACCTTTTCTAGGAAAATCGCTGGCCATCCAGCGGGAGATTGGTGCGTCGGGAGAGTCGACACAACACGTCCCACTGGACAACGTGTCGTCTGCACGCGCCTTCTTCCTTACCAAACTCCTCTGCACCCCGGAAACTGTGGTTGTCGATCAAGGGGGGAAGAAAACAATGGTGAGAAACTATCCGAAAAATGGCTTGGGAGTTAGAGATAACATGTACCTCAGACATGCAAACACCTGGGTTTTCTATGATGACTCCGCCTACAAATCCACGAATGATAAAGTCAGGTGGACCAGGCATTGTTTGGTAGCCCTGAAGCGGGATGGACAAGCAACTAAGGACGCCGTTCTGATTCATCCCCTCTCTCCCACCACATTTACAGTCCTATCCATGTACGAGAAAGATAAACAGATGATTGATGGATGGAAGAGTCTGAGATGTGAGCGATCAGAGGTGAGGATCTACCCTTGGATGCCTCCCAAGCAGCCTGGCCCGGAGGAACGACGACAAAAGATGATGTCAGTCTGTCCTGTGCTAAAAATAGCACATGACCCTATTTTAATTACTCGGGCCTGGCTGTTCATCTATATCACTTCTTAGGGCTATTCCTTTTCTGGCCAAGTTATGCGGCCGTGTCGGTCCGGTCCCAACCGGTCAAAGTGCATTATCTCACTAACCCTTGGTCCGTTTCGAGTGCCATTGCGGTCGCGACGGTCCAGTCCAACGGGGACGATCAGGTCTCCGGAGCACCGTACTGCCACGCCGTCTTTCCCTTGATCTCGGCTCAGGGGAAATCTAACCGACGCGCTAGGGTCCAGTTTGACCATGACTTTGGACGTCCCTAGGCGCGATTTAGACGCAGCGCGGGGTTGACCGCGGCGAGTCATTTTCCGCTGCTGCGCCACACCGTCTTCCGACACCGGCCCCTCCCGCACCCGCTTTTTCCACCACATCACCTCTGAAGACACCACCTCCATCACTTCCGCGGACAAGTTTACCACACCTGACCCCGACGCATCTTCCGATTTACTCGACTCTTTATCCCTCACTTCCGAGGAACTCAATGTCGTCCAATTCATGAGGATGGAGCGCAGAGATCGCAGCTCCCGACCACCCTCATCTACCCCACCCTCCCGCCTCAAGAAACTCACCCCCGAGGAGCGCACCTACCTCCAAGCAAAAGGGGGTTGCTTCCGTTGTCGCCAATTTGGGCACCAATAAATCAACTGCCCCAACACCGCACAATTCACCCGCCAGTCCGCCTCCACTCGACCCGCAACCTCCTCATCACCGCCCTTGGCAAGCGCGGGTCCCTCCTCATCATGAACAGAGTCCCCACGACATCGATCTGGCATCGACAATTCGTCTGCTTCCCCCCTCTCCGGTGCTGCCCCCTCCACCAGACGACTCCCTGGCATTGCAGTGCCTCCCACTGCCCCATCCTCCTCTACCCTTCTTCCAAACCCATCCAATGTCACCTTCTTCGATGTTGTTGAGGAACAAGCTCGACACGATTGGCTTGTTCGCTTAGGCAGCGAACAACGCCGCCTCAACACCATCATCTCTACCGCCAACTCATCTCGTTTCCACCTCAAATTCATCGCCGCCACCCTTGGTGCGTCTACAACAAAGTTTTGGGCCCTCCTCGACATTTGGGCCACCGGTAACTTCATCACCGACGCGTGTGTCTGCAAAGTCGGTCTTACCACTACTGGCTATGACTCCCCGATCACGATTCGCCTAGGGGACAATGACACCGCCGTCGTAGTAGACCGCACGGTTCCCGAGACCACCATGACCGTCGGAACCCTCCGCAGTCAGGTCTCGTTTGATGTCATGCATTTGATGTGCGACATCGTCTTAGGAACCCCGTGGCTGGACCGCTACATGCCATACGCATTCCACCCCAACTTCCTTCGCCTCACCAACCCCCCCGATACAACCATCGACGCCCCCTATCTCCCATATCTAGCCTCCCAAGGCTCCGTCACCCCGAACCAATTCCTCCACATGGCTTGCCTGAACCTCGACTCCGCCTACTATTGTCTTGTCCGTAATCTCGAAAGTCCCAAGGACTTACTCCCGACGGACAAACCCGATCAAGCCCCCCCCTCTGACCCCGCCATCACCCCAATCCTCAACGAGTTCAAGGACATATTTCCTGAGTCCTTACCCGTGGGACTACCTCCGGATCGTGGCGTATCCCATACCATCGATTTGGAGCCCGAACATTCTCCACCTTGCCGGCCTCCATACCAACTCTCTATCCCCGAAGACGAAGAAATGAAGCGGCAACTTGGTGAACTCCTTGAAAAAGGGTTMATTAAGCCAAGTTCATCCCCCTTCGGAACCAGCTGCCTTTTCGTCAAGAAAGGTGAAACTTCAGAACTCCGCATGTGCACAGACTACCGCGCCTTGACCCGGATCACGATCAAGAACAAGTACCCCCTACCTCGGATTTCCGAGCTCCTTGATCGTCTCCGTGGAGCCAAGTACTTTACCAAGATCGACCTTCGCAGTGGCTTCCACCAGATCCGTATCCGCGAGGACACCCACAAGACCGCCTTCCGCTCTCGGTTTGGGCACTACGAGTTCCTCGTGATGCCATTCGGACTCACCAATGCCCCCGCCACCTTCCAATCTTCCATGAACCACATCTTCGGCAACCTCCTCGAAGTCTGCGTCGTCGTCTATGTTGATGACATCCTTGTCTTGAGCCCCACCTTCGAGTCCCACCTTCAGCACCTCCGCCAAGTCCTCTCGATCCTCCAAGCGCAAAAATTATACGCCAAGCTCAGCAAATGTACGTTTGCCGCTTCGAGCGTCGAATACCTGGGCCACATTGTCTCCGCTGAAGGCATCCGTATGGAGCCCTCGAAGGTCACAACCCTCGTCGAATACCCCCCACCCAAGACCCTTCTCCAACTTCGTTCCTTTCTTGGCCTTGCCAACTACTATCGCCCGTTCATTCACAACTTTTCCAAAATCTCTTACCCCCTCCACAAACTCACACGCAGGACGAGCCCTTCACTTGGAACGATCGCCGCCAGCACGCSTTYGATCTACTCAAACAAACCATCACCACGGCCCCCGTCCTCAAGATCGCCGACCCCACCCGCCCCTTATATGTCACCACTGATGCCTCAAACTTCGYCATCGTACTGTCCCAACATTTCCCTCGTGACAACGCCGACACCCGCTCCATCAAGAACTCCCCCACTCACCCCGAGGCTCCACCCGACGAATACCCCATCGCCTTCCCTAGCAAGAAGCATCTTCCCGCGGAGATGAATTACCCCTCCAACGAGAAGTAACTTCTCGCTGCAATCCACGCCCTCAAAGTCTGGCGCCCGTACCTCGACAGGCAATACTTCACCATCCGCACTGACAACACCATCGTCTCCTCCATCCTTTCCAAGAAAGACATCACACCACGCCAAGGCCGCTGGTAAGACTTCCTCRCCCAGTTCACATTCACTATTTGCCATACCCCCGACAAAAGCAACCGCGTTGCTGATGCCCTCTCTCGCCGACCCGACCACAAGCCCCCCAAAAAAGTCTACACCGCCATGACTCATATCCAGCTCCCCCCATCACTTCATCATCGATACACCCAAGGCTATCTCTCCTGCTCAAACTTCGCCACCATTTACAACAAGCTCCRCGATCTTGACCCAGTTCTCAACTACTCCCTCCACAACAACCTCCTCTACATTGATACCAAAAGCACTCGCCGACTTTGCATCCCCGACGCACGAGGCCTTCGTACTCAGCTCTTGGCCGAGCACCACGACACCAAGATCGCAGTCCTCTCTTCCGTTTTTAATTATTTATTTATTTATCCTTATTTTTGTTGCGTGAATGCCATTCTCTAAGTCCAAATGAATTGTCGTTCCGGCTAGGAGTTCTACCTTCTGCTCTTGGTGATTTACTGTTTTTCTTTTATCTGAACTATCTATGTCCGGTATTGAGACGCGTGCACAGAAAGCGGAAAGAGAGAGAAGGGAGAGAGAAGGTGTTCTTTGAGAGTGTGAGGAGGGGTAAGAGGAGTGTTCGTCCAAAAGTGAGCAAAGTGCGGACCCCTCTTGATAGATCTACTGACGCTGTATCCTCCAGCATGGTAGACATCACATCCGAGCAATGGAAGGCCATGCTGGACGCAGCGACCGAGAATGAGAAACCTTTCTTTCAGAAACTTTATGAGGGCGCAATGCACAAAGAGAGGGAGGGAGAGGCAGCAGCTAAAGCCACAAGTATTGCTACACAAGTGGCCCTCCTCGAGGTTCCGGAATCTGGTGATGACCGGTTCCAAGAGAAGCTAGCTGCTGTCGTAGCAGCCTTGATTCGACTGCGGACCTTAGAAGATATCGAGTCCCGTGTGACAGCTCAAGAGAAGCGAAACCAAGAGTTGCACGCTGAGATAGTCAGCCTCAAACAGTCCCAACTATCTGCCCCCCGTCCTCCTAATCCTCGACCTGCTGCAGTCCCAGTCTCTCACCCTAGCACAATCTTCATGTCGAGAGCAAGTGGAACTGTGACAAGCGCAGAAACCGGTGCCAGCTCCTCAAGCGACAGGGTTGGCAGCTCTGCACTGGTCCTAGTCCCAAATGCAGGAACATCAGCCCAAAACGCTGCAGTTCTTACTGGCATACAATACAACGGTCCCGTAGTGGACAAGAGGGCGGCCACTCTGCCGTCCAAGTACGACGGGAAGGGGGACATCACCTCTTGGATCAGCTCCATGCGCTCATACTTCGAGGTTCTGCGAACACCGCAGGAAGACCGAAGCATGATCATGGGCACAAATACTGAGCCCGGCGTACGGAGTTTCATAGAACTCCAAGCTGTTACTGCACGTTATGAGAGGATTGACCTGACTAAGTGGCTGAAAGTGACTCCTGTACGTACTCTTGAGGACCTCCTCATCGCGCAGTATCAAGATAAGCACGCTGCGCTCAAGGCAAGGCTGAAGCTTGAGGCCCTCAAGGGCCAAAAGTGGAGGACTTCCATGCAGGCTTTGGAGCAGCACTTGACTGGTATGTTCACCACTCCAAACCTAGGATGGACTGACGTGTCTTGCATGGACGTAGTAATGGGAGTGGCCCCTGAAGGTTATGTCTCACGGCTAGTACCCAAGGACCATACGACTTGGCGTGAGCTACTGACGGATCTAGTCAATCTAGAAGCCAAGGACCTCGCCAGGCCTGCAAAGGCACCCGCTGCAGGTAGAACCTCGCGATGCAAGCGGTATGAAAGCAGCAACCAGCTTGCCCTGCATGAACATCGGGAGGTTGAGGATCAGTCCTATGCGGATGATTTGTCTCTAGATGACGATCTAGAGCCGGACTCCGATATGGGCTGTTCTACATCAGCCATTGAGTCTGACATAAATGAAGAAGAAAAATGTAATGCCTTCAAAAAGACTGCTTCAAGCAAGGGGCCTAACCGTGGTTCAGGTAGGGGAACTATAACACACCTCCCCAAGAATGCGAAGATCCCTGAGAAGCCGGAGGATGCTTCCACCAAGCCTTGGGAAGCCCTGCGCATTAACCAAAAGGAATGGGAGAGAAAATCCAAACTGCGAGTGTGCTTGCATTGTTAGAAGCCTGGGCATGCTGTGCATGAATGTTATCGTCTGCAGGGAAACAGGAAAAGGGCGTAGAAGAGTCATCAACACTCTCTACAAGAAGGGAAGTTGAACAGTCAGTTGCAGGCCCCTCCGAGGAGCCTGAATCTGATCAACAGCTTGCTCTTGAAGCCCGAACTTATGCTGAATCCAAGGCTGGTGCAGTCCAAATACTTTACACTGTGCCTTGGGAAGAGACTAAGGAAGTTGGCTTCCACTCTCACCTGGAACATTGGCTGCARCTCAAGCAGCAACGCCGTGTTCAAGGGAGTGTGAAACTGACCTTCTTTAAATTGCTCATTAACTGCCGATACATCGCGTGCTGATTGATAGTGGCTCAACGACTAACTTCTTTTCTCCTAACGGGATTCATATGGCGAGCCTGAGAATGAAGCAAGTGGAATTGCAGAACCCTTGTCAGACCCAGGTAGGGAACCAAGAGGTTGTCACATCAACACATGTTGTCAAAGGTGTGCGCGTCACCTTTGACAAGGATCGCACAGTCACACATGAGCTGAACTTTTACATCCTAGAGAATTGTCCTTTCGACGCGGTCATTGGCTTGGGCTGGTTAAAGGCTCATTGTCTAGGGACCACGTGGKTGGATGCTCAGTTCGTGGTGCGTGATGCCAAGGGGAACGAGTGTACTGTTCTATTGAACGAGACGAGCGTGTCCCCTGTGACTCTTTTGAGTGCAGACAAATTCTGCAAATCAGTGCGCATGCGCAAGGAAGTTGAGCATGTGTAAGCCTCTTCATGTGCCTTCTACTTTTGCTGCATTTTCTACCTTGGAAAGTAATTCTACTTCTACTACCTCTACTTCTATTTCATCTACTTCTACTACAAAAAATCAGTCTACTTCTGATCCAAGTACTTCGAACTCAGTTGTAATTGATGTAAATTCTCAATCTGATTTTCTCYYTACCGATGAGGATGATCCTCCACCGGAAGTCCCAACAAACATTCGYCGTCTATTAGATCGATTTCCTGCAGTTCTGGCTGAACCTCGTGGAGTTCCCGAGCGTCCGGTCAAACACAAGATCGAGATAATAATGGAGTGTTCCTCCAAAGGGTTGCGTCTATCGTATGGGACAAGGCGAGTTGGGGGAGTTGAGGAGACAAAATGATGCCATGATTAATYGTGGATGGATTAGGCCTAGYGAGTCTGAGTTCGGTGCACCTRTCCTGTTTGTGCCGAAGAAAGGAGGCAAACTCCGGATGTGTATGGACTATCGTGGCCTAAATCGTATCACCCGAAAGAAAGYTTATCCCTTGCCTCGCATAGATGATCTGTTAGATGTGGCAGAGGGGTGCAAAGTCTTCTCCAAGATCGACCTCAAATCTGACTACCACCAAATTGAAGTTGATCGGAGCAACCACCACAAAACTGCATTCAAAACTCGCGATGGGTTGTACAAATTCATCGTTATGCCCTTCGGTCTTACGAATGCACCAGCCACATTTCAGTGCCTCATGCACAAGGTTCTCCACCATCAGCTCAACATGTTTGTTGTTATTTACCTTGACGACATCCTGATTTTCAGCAAGTCCATGGAAGAGCACGTCAAGCACCCTGAGGAGGTTTTGCGGGTCCTCAAGCAGGCACAACTGCACCTCAACTCAGAGAAATATGAGTTTGGAAGGGACGTCGTCATCTATCTCAAGCACCGGTTGTCTGCAAACGGCCTTGGGCCGGAGGCAACCAAGGTTGAGGTCTTACGAAAGTGGCCTCAACTGGCGAACGTGCGCGAATTGCGTTCTTTCCTTGGTTTGGCTTCGTATTACCGAAAGTTTGTGCCCAAATTTTATGTCATTGCTCACCCACTCTCGAGACTAACAAGCAAGAATGTTGCCAATGAGTGGTGTGAGAAATGCGAGACTGTGTTTCAAGCCTTGAAAGAGGCTTTGGTAAGTCATCATGTGCTCCGCATTRCGGATCCCAACCTCACGTTCGTGATCACTAAGGACGCGAGTCAGTATGGGATTGGTGCAGTGCTGCAACAAGATGATGGYGATGGCCTGCGTCCGCTCGAATATTACAGCAAACGCATGTCCAGCCACAAGGTAGCTACCTCCACATATATGCATGAGCTCTATGCCTTGCGAGAAGCGCTCACACATTGGAAGCACTACCTCTTGGGTCATCACTTCAAAGTCTACTCAGATCATCAGACCTTGCAGTGGATTAAAACGCAAACTGATCTCTCTCCGACACTGACCCGCTGAMTGCATGACATTGATGTTTACAATTTTGAACTGAAGCATAAGAAAGGTTGTTATAATCGTGTTGCTGATGCTTTGTCGCGCCATCCTGAGTTTTTGACTCGCCTTTTGAGCTCGTATGACCTCCGAAGAAAACTGAAGGAGGATCTGGTCGAGCACACTGCCAAGGATCCGGACCTTAGTCCCATCCTTGAGCAGCTCAAGGCTGACCCTAACTGTCAGCCTGATTTTCACGAGTGAGAGGGTCTTGTATTCCGCCGGTATGGGAAGTTAAATCGTTTGTGTGTACCCAACCATGCCCCTCTCCGGACTCATTTCCTGGATTTGGCACATGGTAGGAGTGGACACTTCGGCTTTGAGAAGACTTATGGAAGTCTTCTAGAGCAGTTTGATTGGCCGGGAATGAAGGGATTAGCTCAGAAGTTTATTGTTGAGTGTCAAGTCTGTCAAAGAACCAAGGTCCATAGGCATAAGCCATATGGCCTGCTGAAACCCCTCCCCATTCCTGATGGACCCGGTGRGTCGATTTCCATCGACTTCACGGATATGGGAAAGGTGAGTGAGGGGGGGAATTCACAAGTCATGGTCATCGTGGATCGTTTTTCCAAATTTCTGAATTTGATTCCTTTCCCTCCCCATGCCCCAACTGAGCTTGTGATCAAAGAATTTCATCAGCAGTACATTYTGYAGTTTGGCCACCCGAAAACTATTGTGAGTGATCRGGACACCAGATTCATTAGTAAAGATTGAAAGGACTTCACTTCTCAGATCTACGACATTAAACTCAATAAGACTTCTGGTCGACACCCCGAAGCCAATGGATTGGCCGAGGAAATCAACCAGATTGTCATTCAACTACTTCGCGCGTTGATTGTTCTAGATTAGAACACGTGGACAAGGAGTTACACAAAGTGAAGGGGTTGTACAACAACTCCATTCACTCCGCAATTGGCATGACACCGAATCAGCTGCAATACGGATGGCAGCTGCGCAATCCTCTCTCCTATTTGTTCCCCGAACGGTCACCTGGTTTGACACCCAGCATGCTYGGCTATAATGCCAAGCATGCACGCTTGCTCAAAGCTGCTATCGTAGCAATGAACAAGTGTCAGCATGCCATGATCAAATATGCTAACAAGTCGAGTAAAGAAAGAAACTTCAAAGTAGGAAGTTATGTCTGGGTCAAAATGTCTGAGTTTTTTTACAAAGAGGGCGTATCACGAAAGCTTCTTCCATTGTACTATGACCCTTGGCAGGTTCTTAAGGTGATTGGGGATGATTTTGGTCCTTCGTATGTGATTGATGTGCCTCCTCATCTGCGCACATATCCGGTCTTTCACACGTCCAACTTGTTTCCACACATCGATGACGAGATTTTTCCCTTTCGAGATCCTATGATACCTCGTCCTAGCCACGACGGCCATGAGATAGAGATAATTGTTTCCCATGAAGGAAGAGGGAGGAACAGATTGTACAAGGTTCACTTCCTCTATCACCCGTTGAACGAGTTTTATGGATCGACAGAAAAGAGTTGCTAAAGAATGCTCCACGTGTTGYTAACGCTTATGAACGACAGATCGCTGATGGACAGACTGCTAAGTTTTCTGCAAAACTCACTCCTCACTGTCTTACTAAATCTCTCTTTCTGATCTACGCCTACGATGCATTTTGTGCCGACTCTGAATGAGTTACTCGCTCGAAGGGAMCTCGCTCTTGAGAGGGGGGTAGTGTAATGACCCGCCAAAAACACAGATTGAGAACACTGCTGATTTCTGGGATTTGCCGCTGGAATGAATGCCTTGTTGAGATTCCCGCATTCTGCTGTGGTTTCCAAGTCTGTGTGTGTGTACGTGCCTGCTGGTTTGTGTGTCTGTCTGAATGCTTGTCGGCTGAGTGTGTGTGTGACCCGCAAGGGTACTTGTTGGTTGAAAGGCCCCGTGGGGCCGATACTTACCTGTGGTCGTGACTTCGAGGGTTGCAGCGGGAAGACACTCAAGTAGCGGGGGTAGGCACGCGACACTTAGAGCAGCGGGGAAAAACACTCAAGTAGCAGGTAGGTCGGTACCACTCAAGTAGTGGTAGGAGTGTCGGGTACTGGAGGCCGGGCAGAAGAAGACAAAAGTTGGCATTTTTAGAGGCCCAGTAGTGGTAGGATAGAGGYAGGCCGGTACCAGTCCAAGTAACCTGAGTCTACGGCCTGTCGGGACGATAGCAGAGCCTGCAATGATGTTTCCATCCGAAAGGGAGGTATCGGTTGYTGGGAGGCCGCTCGGCCTAGGAAGTCACCGCCCAAGAGGCTAGTAGGCCGCTTTATCTTCCGGACGAGCAGGTAGCTCCTCCTCATTTCCGATATGCAAGGATTGGCGACATGCTGGTGAGCCAAGCGCTGGACTTGTACAGCGCTGCCTGGAGGTGAAGGGCAGCTGGGCGCTCAGCCTGGCTATAGTGAGCAGCCCCGCCTGAGGAGGAGGAAGAAGGGGGCAAAGGAGGCGAGTGGCGAGGTACCTTCCTGGCTATGGTGGACACCATCTTCATCACCTTGTTGGGCGCTGCATCTGGAAGGCCCCAGTTGGGGTAGTGCCGCACCAAGGAAGCTCGAGGCAGAGTCAGGCATGGCGGCTTAGTCAGCAGCGGCATAGCTGCTTTGGGTTGTCCTTTGGACAGGAGTGCARCACCATAGTTGCTTTGTGTTGTCCTTTGCATAGAGAGGGGCAGAGCCCTCAATTGTCCGCCATAGCCTAGGCTTGTGAGAGGTGGAAGAAGGGGGGAAACCATAACTATGGTGGACCTGTTGTTGTGTCAGCAATAAGAGGGAACTTCGGACATTGATTCTGGTTCATTCACTCATTGTTATTATTATTATAGGAAGAAGAATAAGATTGACGAAGAGGAGGAGGAGGAGGAAGGTGGAGAGAGAAGGGGGATTTCTCATTGGTCTTGCTGGTGTACATCATCATCTTCTTCTTCTTCCTCTTCTTCTTCTTCTTCTTCTTCTTCTTCTTCTTCTTTCTCTCTTCTTTGGTCTCTATCTCTTTGCAAGTGATTTCATTTCCTTCGCAATTG